GTCTTGGCCTCAAATCATCCTCCCACCTCAGTCTCCTGAGTGGCTGGGACGACAGTGGATGTCACTGGGCCTGGCTAGCCTCATGACCGTTTCACAGGAAACATTACCCAATGCTCTCTTCCCTAACCGCACTTTGATGGTCTTGCCGTACTGGCAAATTGAGCCTGACTATGAACTTCAGTGGCCACATAACATTCCACAAAGAAGATGGACCATAATTCGATCACTGTTTCCCTTGGAGCTCCCTTAACCATCCCTTCGCCACATTCAATCACAAGGGCACCAATTTCAGCTAGGGCCACTCCTGCCAGTCAGCCCCTCCTCCCACCAGGCCTACAGAGCTGCCGTTGTTCAACCCAGGCTTTTATGCTTCCTCCACAGTTCTCAAGTTCCTAAAGAGCAGGGAGGATTCCACCCATACCCTCCGCCTGTGAGAACATGGTGGCTGGTGCTAGTTAGCTCCTGTTTCCTGAGTGAGTGAATGAATGAAGACAACTTTTCCTTTACCCAGGACAGCCTATTGGTGGGACCCTGCCAGCATCCTGATGGGGAAGGATTTGGGGCTGGGCATTTAGGGGGCTCTGACTTTCTGCTGCTGCTGCTGCTTCTTGGTTGCCGCCGCATGCACAGATTACACAGAATGAGGAGCGCTTTTCTGAGGACGATTTCATCTTGCAGTTACGGTGCTAAGGTTTAGAAGGGACCATGGCCCACCCTGGCTCTCATAGACCTGAGGCCTTTTACCTCCCTGACCAGGGCCTCTTCCTTAAATCACAGCCTCTCCACACTCCTCTTGCTTTTCAACCTTTGCACAACCTGGCCAGGCCTTGAGCCTTTCGGCCAGCAGCTGCATCCTTTGGGTCCTGGTTCCTGGGCTGGCCTGGAGTCCTACCACTGCATCTCAGCCTCATGCCAACTTTGCCAGCCCCGTTCCACCACGTTCAGAGTCCTGCCACAACCCACGCCACCCCCTAGGACCACGATGCCACCAATTTCCTCCCCTCCCCGACCAGGAGCCTCTGTGCAATGCACAAACTCTCTGCTTTCCCATGCTCATCAGTGATGCTGGTCCCAGCAGGAGCGCCACGCAAGCCCCTCCGCACCCCAGGATATGAGCCACTGCCCTCCCCCGCCCCAGTGGATAAGTCTGGGTCCCCTAAAACTCTCTGCCTTTTCATGTTCATTAATAGATATCCTTCGCCTGAACCCACTTCCCCTCTCTCAGACCAGCAGAGGAAAAATGGGGCCCCGCTGAAAATTTACTAACACCCACCCTGCTTTGTTCGGATGCCTGCACACCCTGGCACTGCCCCCCAGCCTCGGGCATGACACTTACCCTGTGGACCGCATGAGATGCTGGGACCCCTTGGCTCCTCTCCCCCACCGGACTGCCAAGCTCTGCATGGCCATCCTCTCAGTCCCCACGCTCCCAGGGCCTCCACTGCAGATGGTCTGGGATCTGAGCAGATAGCTGCAGCAGCGTGAAGTCACCCTCAGGGGAGGTGGGTGTCCAGACCAACAGCAGGCAGGACCCGGCAGACCGCAGTCTCATGTTCAATAATACTCTGAATTCTTTCCAAGCTCAGCACTGTCAACAAATGATCCAGCCATGGACCTGGCAGGGAAATGATGGAAATGGGACACTCCCGCAGAACCCTGGGAGCCTACTTTCATGGGACAGTCTGGATATTCTGGGATGAACCACACTGTTGCAGGCCTGCAAGATGTATAAAATGAAAAGGGATGGCAAACCAAGTGTACATTTTGGTCAAAGAAGATGTGCTTGGACTAGCTGCCAATCGCTGTAGAGGGCAGGGGGCTTACTCACTCTTAATCCAAACGGCTCTTCATGGGAAGCCTTCCTGGAGCTGTGCACCAGATGGAGTCTCCTACTTTCATGGTTCCCTAGCATTCTCAGCTTCCTCTCCCTCACACTCATGATGATCAGTACCTATCAAGTTGTTTGTGCAAAAGCTCCCACGGGTGCTGGAGCTGTACGGTGCACGTGGCTGTGGTTCACGATTGGCATCCAGGCTGTGCGGTGTCCTGAGCTCCTGCAGGCATCCTAGCAGGTGTGCAGTGACCATGGGCCAACACAGCAATTCGGGCAAGTCTGGGCTCCAGGCTGTGACTGTGGCTGTGATGTATACCGCCCCTGGTTTACCGGGCTGCAAACACAGGGGTGCCCGAAGTTCACCCGGCCTGAGGATGAGGGCTGGGCATCTGCTTGGTGCCCGAGACTGTGAGTCCTGTACACAGTCTTGTGGGGAGCCCAGTGTAAATGTGGACGATCAAAGCTTGTAAAGCCCCTGGCAGGGCACCCAGGGAGAAGGTGGAAGAAGTGACGCATGCAGAGACAGCGTCACTATGGGTGCAACACAGAGCGGCATCTTGGAGGAAGAACAGGCATTTTCCAGCAGCAGGAGGGCCTGTGCAGGGCCCAGTGCAATGCAGGACTAGGGAGAGGAGGTTGCTCAAACTGGACACAGAGGAGGTGGGGATGGGTCTGAGGAAGCTGTGAATGTGGCCTTGGTCCTCAGCTAAGGACTCTGGACGTACACTGTGAGCCAGGTGAGCCAGCAGAGACCCTGCCACAGAAGAACAGCATGGCCAATGTGCTTCTGTTTTGGGTTTTTTAAGAACCTTCTATGGCCAAGTGGAAGACAGAGGAGCTGGCAGAGACCAGCGGCCAGGAGGACTCTGAGCAGGCACTGCTCTAGGGTGAGGCAATGGGTGTGGCAGGATCTGAGGGCCTAGTTGTTGGGGATTCTCTCAGGCGGACAGGGCAGGGAGAGGAAGGGTGCAGGGCTGTGCACACAGGGATGCATTCTCTTCTTAAAACCCCGGCATGCCAGGGTTCAGAAGAGTTATGTAGCTACAGGCACGGTCTCAGCACCTTACCTGCTTACCACAAGAGCCCCAGTTCACATGAGCGGCAGATGCTGACACTCGGCCAGGACCACGGACCAAGGATATGTGGCTTCCTGCACTGGTGGCTGCTGGGCCTTCCATGCCAAGTGGGGCAGGGGCTGCTCCTCCCTGTCCTAAAACCTCTGTGACTGATCTGGATGAGACCCAGTGAGTGGCGGCTTTCACCTCCCATTTTCACAGAAAGTTTGCACTTTACCCTATGATGCAGCACAAATCTGAAACTCTTCAAATATTTCCAAATATCAAAGACTAAAATCCACTACGGGTACAAAATTGTACGAACCTGACTGAAAGTTTAAGGCATAGCTCCCAGTGAACTGCTGTGGAAGACACATCTTTATATTTTTCTGAGCAACGTTTTTTAAAATAAAGAAAATTCCTTCTGAAAGGAAAACCCTGTGGAGTACCCAGTGGAAGGAAATTGTAAAAGAACAAATACACAAGTGACTTTGCATCTTGATAACATCCTGTCTTCAGGAAAACAGAAGAGAGAAGATACTTTTCTCCTTTTACATCCAATCCCTCTACTTCGCTCCTATTTAAAAACCATTTTATTGAGGTCTGATTGATAGGCAAAAAGCTGTGCATGTTTAATATCTACAACCTGATAAATTTAAAGACGGGGCACATCCAGGAAACTATCGCCACACTCTATGCCATAAATGTTTTTACTACCTACAAAAGTTTTCCCTGCTCTTATTGTTGTTATTTTTGTGTGATAAGAACATTTAACATAAGACCTACTGTCTTAGCAAATTTTTAATTATACATTACAGTTATATTAATTGTAGGTCCTACGCTGTAAAACAGATCTCTAGGACTTACTCATTTTTCTTAACTGAAACTTTGTAAAAGTGGAGGCAAGAACTGCTCCTAGAATGGACCACCTATCTGCAGTGTGCAGTCAATGGAGAGTCCCATCCCCAGGCTCCCAGGTGGAAACTGGCTGGGAGCAGGGCGGCACAGATGCCAGCGACACACCTCCTGCCCAGCCTCTCATCCGCCAGACCTCCAGCGCTCTGTTAAGCAAAGCTGGCCCAGCCCTCCAGAAACCTTGGCTCCCTGCTGTCATCACAGAGCTCCCTGGCCTGTGCCCTAAGGGAGTCCACACTACCCACCACAGTGTATAAGAGTTTTAGACGGCTATGGCAATGTTTCATAAGAATTAAGAAACAGCGGGCCGGGTGCAGTGGCTCACGCCTATAATCCCAGCACTTTGGGAGGCCGAGGTGGGTGGATCATGAGGTCAAGAGATCAAGACCATCCTGGTCAACATGGTGAAACCCCATCTCTACTAAAAATACAAAAAATTAGCTGGGCATGGTGGCGCATGCCTGTAATCCCAGCTACTCAGGAGGCTGAGGCAGGAGAATTGCCTGAACCCAGGAGGCGGAGGTTGCGGTGAGCCGAGATCACGCCATTGCACTCCAGCCTGGGTAACAAGAGCGAAACTCCGTCTCAAAAAAAAAAAAAAAAGAAACAGCTAATTCATTTTGACCCTGGGATGCCACTTTAGTGTGTGTGATATGCACTAAACAGACCAAATGTGACAAAACCCTCTACCGACGCAGTCTTTGTAAGTATCTGGAGTACCAGTAACTCCACAATGAATACTTACTGATTGCATGAATAAAAGGCAAAACATGACAAAACAAAACAAATTATTAGCAATAATAAAATATCTAAGCAAATTACTGTTTAGTAATATAATTAGTATTTAGTCCAGAAGCATTAAGAATGGCAGAGGCAATACTGCTCCTACACAGGAATTTATATGTGAAATAATGTTTAAGGAAAAAGGCAGAGAGCAAATAATATGCTTATACAAAGTACATCACATGCATATGTGGCACACTGATAACTGTGTAAGGATATACGGTGATGGGCGTACGATAACCTTATGTTTGTTATCTGCACAAATGCACAATGGAGGTGGTCATCAGAGCTCAAAAAATGAGTAGCACGCCTGAGTTCTCCCTCTTCTGGCACATTCTGCAGCAGTACCCTTTACAAATGTCGGCAGAGGACGCACACTGAGGGGGGGAGAGACAAGGACACGGCTGGCTGACCTGGGCCAGGATTTGGGGGCTGCCTGGTGTAGGACACGTTGAAGGCTGGCTCCTCGATCAGCGGTGGGGGGTACATGCGCCTCCGGATGAAGAAGCCGGCTCCGCAGCAGAAGAGCACGCCCATCATCAGGAGGAACCTGAGGAGAGCAGAGACGTGAGCGGGTGCCCCGAGGACTCGGCCCTGCAGCTTAAAGGCCTTGCGCACTCCTCGGGGTCCAGGACCAACGACTCCTGAATGCATGGATCGGACGGCAAGGGCGGAGCCACGAGGCTCACACCTCAGACTTGGTCCTCTCATTTCACCCAGGGCCATTCCTCCAGTGGATGGCAGCAGGCAGACGCCTGACCTGTGGCTTCTGGACAGCCCCGGGTGAGGCCACCCACACTGAGAAGCACTGTCAGTGAGCTCTGTCTCAGCTCACATGGCCGGCCGGTTTCAGGAAGCTCAGGCAGTCACTTCCCTGCCCTCGGCCCTGACCTCAGCTGGACATTTTAGAACAGGAAATGCTGTCTCAGTCCTATGTGAACATCACAGCCAACGCAGCCTGGACCTCGCCGTCTGCCTCCGTTTTCCATTCTTCACTGTCAAAGCACCAAGGCAGAGCCCATTCGTTCTTCCAAATTGTGTCTCCACTGTCACATGAACAGCCACAAGGAAACAAAAGAACGCTTCCTGGAACACACCTTAATTACAGAGAAACTAAAGGAACAGAAATACAACCAATAAAAGTGGAATCGATAGAAATGTAATCTATCAATAGAAATACAATACAATCAATAACAAGTAGAGCTGAATGCTTTCAGGGCAGACCTTTGTCCAATGCACCTATGAATTCTCAATGACTATGACTTCATCAGCATTCAGTAAATGTTTACAGAATGACTGCATAAATGACTTCCTTCCATTCCTCATTTGCACTATACTTTTAGTTTCTAGAAAAAGAGACACTCTTTGAGAAGGACTATTAATAGACAAAACTGACAAACTGGCAAAACTGGCAAACTCTTGTCCATCTCTGGACTGAAATTATGGCGGGCCCCATGGAATCGTCCAGAAGCCATGCAGACGCCCACAGGGTGAGAGCAGCTGCTCCCCTGTGAGGATGGGCATGCAGCAGAGCAGGTGGCGGTCAGTGGCACCAGTCCACACATAAAAGAAGCTTGAGAGTGGACGATAAAGCCTTTGAGAATATTAATGTGATGTTAAGTGCAAGGCCATCAGCCAGTCAAGAAGTATTTACTGGATAACCCTGGAAGGCTGCGCAGGGAGAAAAGCAGAGGCACGAGACAGGAAGGACTCAGGAAAGACGGAAACTGTGGCCTCTGTCACCTGCTTTCTTATTGATTATTCATTCAACAAGTCATCTTCAGGTGCCGTCACCACCCTGAGCACAGCAGTGAGTAGGCAGGTGAGGCCCCACTTCACTGACACTGAGCTTACAGAGGAGGGAGACAGATACCAACCCATACAACTAGTTATCTATGACCTCATAAGTGCTAAGAAAGAAAAATGGGGGATGCAAGAAGTCTGTGTGGGAGGGAGGGGCGTAAAATATACATAAATATAATTTACTCTTTTAATCATTTTTAAGTGTGTAATTCAGTGCACCGAGAGGTTTGAACAATGGTATCTGCAGTGGTGAGCAAGACTGGGAACTCTGGGTTTCCTTTGGTGACAGCTGGGTTGGGCTCTGAAGAAGAAGAGCCAAGCTGAAGGGGAGAAAGGTGGAAAGAACACTGCCCAGGTGCTGGGGCCGGAGAAGCTCAGAGCAGGAGGCCTAGAGGCTTGGTCCCAAAGATGGGCAGAGGAAGCAGCCGTGGGGAGCCAGGAGGACCCAAACCATTCAGGAGCACAGCAACGTAAGGCTTCACGTGCTCCGCATTAAGAAAACACTCAAGTTCACAAAGGGATTGGCTTCCTCTCCCAAAACTGATGTCTCTCAGGTGGGCTCAGTGACAGTCTTACACTCAACACTGAGTCCTGCTGTCAGTATCTGGGTAGAAATATACAAAGCACAGAGGGGCTGGATGTGTACAGGGTTTACTTTCTCAGCGCCACTTCCAAGAGGCAGGGGTCCCTGGGCTGAAAAATGCAGAAGGCACCTGGTCTCATCCAAGAGATAAGCTAACTCCTGCCAAACAGGAGTAAGAACATTTCGTTTTTCTAGACAGAAGGAAAGGACATTGCAGCTCCCACCTTAGTCCGATGGAAGGCAAGCGTAAGGCAAGGCCGGAACAGAGCCGCCTGGGATCCACCTCATCCCTTACTGAAATCACAGTCTGATCATTTACTTTATTCATTTATTTTAAAAATTTATTTAAAATAATTTCTGGTAGAGACAGGGTCTCACTATGTTGCCCAGTGATCTCAAACTTCAGCACTGCGCCTGGCGAAGAACTTATTTTAAAAGAGAGAAACTAATAAAGGGGCAGGAGAAAGCGCTTCTAAAACAAGGAAAGAGACAAGGAGGGCAGTTCTCGCAGTGCTGGGAGTGCAGGCTGGCTGTTGCCCAGATGTCCTCTTTGGTTGCTCAACAGGTTTTGGATGTTTTCAAAGGGATTAAGAGAGGAAGTCTGTGCTTTTTTTTTTTTTTTTTTTAACATTAGAAGTTACCTGATTACTTAAGTCAATTTGTTTTTTGATTCCTCTCCCCGACCCCCCATCCCCAATTGCAGCAGTTCTCAATTCTGCAGTCCCAGGGATGGGTGCAGCTACTGCCCCACTCGGGACCCCGCATGGGACCCCTGCTGTGGGCTCACTGCAGTGCCAGCTAAGCCAGTCCTCACTCGGGCCCACTGGGCTTTCTGAGTCTACTCAAGGGTGTCACCAGGCCACCTTCTCTACGCTTGATGATTCCATCCAGATCTCCTTGGTGAAAGGTTCCTCCCGATCTTAGAGTCGGCAGGAACCCTAAAGGCATTCACCTTCAAAACCTTTGTTTTATGGTCAGGAGACACCTTCAAACATGGCTGAGGGGCCCAGGCTGCAGAGCAGCCCCTCCCTCCCACCCTGCCCCTTCCTCCTCTCCACCAAAGGCCTATCCTCGCCACAGAGGCTTCCCATCACCTTTTAACACGTCCACTCTTCTTACGCTCTGGCCCTGCAAGGTGCTGTCCCTCTACGCTGAATGCCCTCTCTGACGACCCCATCAAAAGTTTTGTAGCTTTCTTCAACTTTTCTGGCGTCAGAAGTTCTGTGCTCTGGCTTGAAAGTGTCCACACATCATTATTTACCTAGATGTCGTCTCCTTCAGGGTCTGTCTGCCTAAGGACCTCTCCATAAGGACCCAGCACAAATGCCTGGTGCCTATCAGACCCAATGTTGATTGAGAGAGAAAATGCATGGGGTGGAACCCAGGCACCCTTTGTATTTCAGGTGAGGCACTGCAGCCTCACACCCCAGATGCTCCTGGCTGCATCGCCAGCTTGGAACCCTGTGTCGGAATCTCAATGTTGATGACTCAGCCCCGTCTTCTGACATCTGGCACTCAGACCTTCCAAGAGCCTGACCTTGTGCAATGGGACTCGGGGGAGCTTCTCCAAATGGGGCCCACCAAGTCGTCGTGTGCCACCTCGCCAAGGTGCCCTGTCTCTGACAGGTGACCCTGGCCAGTAGCTAGGAAGCACCTGGCTGCCAGTGCAGGTACAGCTTTCTGGGCAGCCCGACGGAAGCGGACAGGCCTTACCAGTTCTTCTGGACTTTCTCAAATTTCTCTTCTTTTTGATCATAAAATACCTGAACACTGACAAGCTTTTAAATTTTTTACAAGCATTCCTACGGCCTCATCATCATTCATCTGGTGCTTCACACCAACCCAACACCCTCACAAGCCTGTTCACAGTTCAGGGTTTCACACTCCAAGTGGTCCTCCTCCTTCCACCCCGAGGTCCTAGGAGGATGATGCAGAGGGAAGGCGTACCCTTAAGCTGGGCCTTGCCCCGCCCACTGCCGCCCCGCCCCCCCAGCTCCGGTACCGGCCCCCTCCACCTGGAGATGCGCACAAAGGCATTAACTTTTGGACAGTCTTAGGCTACAACAATAATTCTTCTGTTACAGAGTTTTAGGCACTGGCACCTCTGTGGTATGGGGACCTGACATCAGCTCCCTGGTTCAGGGGACACAACTAGGCAGGGCTTCCCAGGCTGGCCCTAAGGGAGGCCTGGCCAGCAGCTCTAAGGTCAGGTGAGGCCAAGGAGGTGGTGATGAAAGAAGGTATCACGATTAAAGAACAACCTGGTCACATAACACCTAGAGTCCCCACTCCCTATAGGCTTCCCTAATCAAACCCTGGGCACAGGTGTTAAGGGAGAAAGACAAAAAGTGACAAAAATTCAGGTGGCTGCTGTCACATGCTCAGTAAGGTCTTAAAGTCTCAAAAGGTCAGTAAAGTCAGAATCTTCACCTCATAAAAAAAAGCTTGCATCATGCAGAGAGCAAACTCTAGCCCTTTCTGGAGTTTACTGAAGGGCATCACTACTGCATGGGAGAAGAGAGGAAGGCAGGTGCAAGAAACGCTGCTTTGGTTTTAAATAAATCCTTTCCCACATGTGCTCTGCCACCCTGGCATCTCCAGAGTCCAACAGATGCTCGGAGCACCCCAGCAGGCATCCTCAGGCTCTTGCCCACAGGAGGCTCCCCCCACAGAAAACGCTCCCACACTTCCCAAATGCCACGGGCATCGCTCTGGTTCCTGCTCAAGGAGCAGACTTCAGACTGCTCCGTATGCACCCCAGAGGAGTCGGAGGAGTCACACGGGTGCAGGCTGCCTGCCTTGAAAGCACAGAGTCAGCCGATACAAGATGGATGGGGAAGAGTCTGGGCAATGAAAACTTGATCGCCTGCCAGTCTTGGCTGGCTGATTCTCTGATTCTTCAAGACAGCCTTGGCTCCATTTCAGAAACTAGCCAAGGAGCTGCCGAAGGATGAGGCTGTTGTCCAGCCACCTTCCCGGAAGCAGAGATCTTCTTCCCACTCCATAGTCCGTGGAAATGAAAATAGCTTCCCTTAAACTCTGTGCGGGCAGCTGCTGGTGACAAAGCCAACCCAAACATACCCATTTTCCTGACCAAGGCTGTCCTCAAGGCCACCACCCAAGGGAAGGTGTCACACCCGAGGTTGTGACAATGCTGACGGGGGCAGAGCTCTCAGGGTGGGGAGCAAGGAGTTTCAACCTACCAGAAGTACCACAGCCTCTGTATGGAGAGGGCCCGCACGCAGCACCTGGAGCCACAGCAGTCCTCGTAGGAGCGGCATCTGTGGAGAGAGGCACAGGCTGGGCTTCAATGTCGTCATTCTTGAAGGAAGAAATCAATAAGAGCAAAACGGACAGAGCTGCTTCCACTGCATTTCACAGAACCAGCAGGGCAGACAGACATCAGCCTGTGGCCCAGAGCAAGGTGCTGAGGCGGGCACAGTCAGTGTGATGCAAAGCTCCGCGTTTACCAAGCATCCTGTGTGCCAAATCCCAGCGGATTCCTTCTGGGAGGCGGCATGACCAAAGACGGGCATTAAGCCTACCAGGAATGCTGCTGGGGGAGGCTCCGAGGCAGCCCAGCACCTGTATGGTGCTCATCTCTGCTGTCTTCAGTCCCTGACTATGGGGAAAAGATGGAATACCCCACCACGTCCACTAAGGCGAAAAGCAGGGGATGTGGAGTTGGATAAATTGCAGCTGTGGTCCTGGTCCTGCCATTTACTAGCTGTGGGACTTCTGGTGAGCCTCAGTTTCTCCATCAGCAACACGGGTGGAATGGCAGGGGCACTGCACAGCACTGATTTAAGCTTTAAGGCCTTCATCACCATATCAAGCGCTGATGGCATTATTACTGCTGGCGCTGCCTCCCTCCCCTCACCCCCCAACGTGGGTGACGTTTCCAGGCCCCTGGCAGGGCACAGCTCTCGGGGCTGTGCTCAGAAACGGTTTCCAGAGAGCTGCCTGGGCATGGGCCCTTGCGCAGGTCTCAGGTGAGGCACTCAGTGCCCTCCACATCTCTGCCCTTCCCCAACTCTGTGTCCTCCCTGAAGGGAAAAGATGCCGCAAAAGCGCAAACCCTTTGGTTTTACAGAGAAGTTTTCACTAGAGCATTTTGAACCCAACTGCATTGGCAGGGATGAGGAGCAAGCCATTTCTCTACAGTATTAAACTACTACCTAACTGTGATCTAGGTTCCTGCCAGTTTGTCCTTTAAAAAAAAAAGTAGCTGGGAGAAACATACAATTCAGTCCAAGGTCTTGGGCCCTGAATGTGTAGATTATTGCAGTACATAGGGTTGTTTTATGTAGAAGTGGTGCAGAAAACTAGTTAAGATGCAGAGTGAGATCACAGGGGCCTGGAACGCAGCAGACCCAAGCTTCAAAGCTGCTCTTCCCTGGTTGTGCACCCAGTGGGCCCGAGGCTCCCGGATGCGGTGCTGCCTCTCCAAACACCCAGCACCCAGTGGCAGCTAAATCTTCTATTGTTTCAAGGACAAACTGAGCTGAGAGACACTCCCTCCCCACTCCAGCCCAACGCCATTCCACAGCTAATATGGCAGCATTTACATCCGGTCTTCCTCCGGCCCATGAACATGAATTCCTACCCACTACCCAAAGTGTTGTGATTTCCATGAGATGCTCCCACTGGCCCCCACTGAGAGTTACCTAAATGAGTGCTCAAGAATGCTGCTGGTCCTGGCTGGGTGCAGTGGCTCACACCTGTAATCTCAGCACTTTCGGAGGCCGAGGTGGGTGGATCAATCACTTGAGGTCAGGAGTTCAAGACCAGCCTGGCCAACATGGTGAAACCCCATCTCTACTAAAAATACAAAAATTAGCTGGGTGTGGTGTGCGCACCTGTAGTCCCAGCTACTCGGGGAGCTGAGGCAGGACAACTGCTTGAACTTGGGAGGCAGAGGTTGCAGTGAGCCGAGATAGTGCCACTGCCCTCCTGAGACTCCATGCATCCAGCAAGCAGGCACAAAAGGGCTACTAGGAGCCTGCTCTGTGCTTTCCTGAGATGTAGCAGGGAAAACCCAGAGGAAACCCCTGCTGGGAGGGGTTTTCTCTCTAGAAGGGGGAGAAAATAGTAAACAAGAAAATATGAACTGTGTTACACAGCAGTAAGTTCTTCTATGGGGAAAAATAGAGACGGCCCTGGCAGGTTGAGACCATGAGGCAGCAGGGTGCTCAGGGAGGACGTGTGCAGCAGGTGACCTCTGAACAGAGAGCATGCAGGAATCCAGTCTGGCAATGAGGGACACTGGCACAGGGCCTCAGCGCTCAGCATGGGGGATGCTGGCCCCTCCACCCTAGTGCTCCTGGCTCCACGGCTGCGTGCTGGAGCACAGGGTGTGAGTGTGCGAGACACCTGTGGGGCTGCTGAATCTGGGCCAGAGCCCTGTGCAAACAGGACCTTCTGCAGCTCTTCTGGGCCTTCCCCTGGAATCTCATTGGTCTTAGGTGACCAATGTGTGTGTACCTATGTGTGTGGAGGAGAAGGGAGTAGTTGAGGGAGATGAAGGACTTCTTGCTTTTAGCGTTGGTGGAGTTTAGACAATTAACTGTAAACTGAAAGAGGTGTGACTGTTTCCTCTCGTGAGTGTGCAAAGACAGGCATCCTCAGCACTGTGGTGAGGTACATGGTGAGTGCAGGAGTGTGGAAGGCAGAACGCAACCATGGCCCCAAGAATGGCACCCCTCAGAGGACACACCCTGCATAATCCCCTCCCCTTTGGTGGGCAGGACTCTGTGAATATGGGAATGGTCACTCCCACGATCACGGAACATTAAATGAGATGGTGTGTTATCTAAGTCTCTGCCCTTGCAAACTGGAGATTCTCCTGCTGGCTTTGAAACAGTATGAACAGCAGCCATGTGGGAGGGCCATGTGGCCAGGACTGAGTGTGTTCTCCAGGCGCCAAGAGCAATCCCAGCAGGACCTCAGTCCTACAACCACAAGAAACCGAATTCTGCCAGCAACCCAAATCAATTCAGGAGGACTCCAAGCTCCAGGTGAGAACGCAGTCCAGCTCACTGCTTAATGTCAGCCTCGTGAGGCAGCCCTGAACCCAGAACCCAACTGTGGTTTCCCAAACTTGAGATCTATAGAGCTGTGTAGTAATAAGGGTGTGGTGTTTCAGTCTGCTATATTTATAGTGATTTACTACATAGTAACAGAGTTGAGAATACAGCTTACAGGTTACGAGCACTTCTTACCTCACACCAGGTTAAGTGCTTCACAAACGTCTCAATTTTGAAACATCCATATACAAAGTAAGTATTATTAGTGCCACATCTGAAATAAGCTTAGAAGCAAGACATCAGGGATGTTGCACCTCCAGCCCGAGTCACGTCTGCAGAAGCCAAGAGTGGACTTGGCCAGCATTTCAGGAAAGCATTTTGCACAGACGCTGCCTCTCCAGTAACATGGAGCCTTCCATGACCAAAGGGTCACCTTCTCTATCCCTACATGATTTTCCTATTCTTCAGCCCTGCTTTTATAAACTGCTGTGGAAATTTCAAAAGCCATGGTAACAGAGACAATATGTAAAAAACAGAGATCCGAGGCCAAATGGCTGGAGGTCCCTGAGACAGGACCCACAGATGGGAATTCAGCAACCACTCTTTAATAATGCCTGCACGGTTCTTCGTTCAGCTTGGAACTGCATATTGACCAGAGAGATTCCCAGAAAAGCCGGTATCATGTGATGTCAGTAATGCTCTACAGTTAGCAGATAACTTAATCACAGAGACAAATAAAGTAAGAAGTGACATTAGGCGAAAGGACAGTGTTGCCTTGCAGTGAACAGCGGACGCTCCCGCAACATTAGCTGATTTCAGCTGCTGTGAGCCCACTGGGAGATTGTAAAACCACGTTATATGGCTGCATCGTACAAAGGTGAAAAACAACTGAAAAAAAATCAGGCCGCACACGGTGGCTCATGCCTGTAATCCCAGCACGTCGGGAGGCTGAGGCAGGTGGATCATGAGATCAGGAGATCGACACCATCCTGGCCAACATGGTGAAACCCCATCTCTACTAAAAAAACACAAAACACAATTAGCTGGGCATGGTGGTAGGTGCCTGTAGTCCCAGCTACCCAGGAGGCTGAGGCAGGAGAATTGCTTGAACCCAGGAGACGGAGGTTGCAGTGAGCCGAGATCACGCCACTGTACTCCAGCCTGGCGCCTGGCGACAGAGCAAGACTCTGTCTCAAAAAAAAAAATAAAAAAATAAAAAAATAAAAAAAAATCAGGGGATATCACATTTGTGAAACTTGTATTTTGGTCAGACATCCGCATACATGCACAAAAATCTACGTGTGCCAGGCTGTGACATAAAGCACGCTTCTTCACAGCTACTGTCAGGGAAGCCCCAAGTGGACAGGTTCAAGCTTCTGCTGTGTCCAGGACTGGCTCCTTTTGTCCTCCTGGGAGATTCTGGGTGGCCCTCCGGCCAACCTGACTATAAGGTCACTTTCTGCTGTCAGTAGTGCTGGGCTAAGGTCCTTCTGTCCTTGTCTTTTGTCTAGGTGACACTGGCTTTAGTCAGATGGCTATTGCCATTTTTTGCCCCTAATTGTATTATACACTGTCCTGAAGTGATCAAATTCTAGGAGATACAACTCTCATGAAGACTCTCTCAAATGGGACACCCTGGCTCACTGCCTACCATGAACCAGCCTCTGCTGTGGGTGCTGACAGTCAGAGAGGGGTGAGAAGGGTAGGGAACAGAGGCGACAGACACCTGCAGCTTAGGGGAGCCGACCATGACCCTCTGAGCTCCTGCTGGTTCCCTCCCACTGCTCCAACACCCTCTGCCGCCTGTGATGCTCCTGTCTCTCTCCCTCTCAGCTTTCACCCCTGACTCTAACGGCAGCTGCCCCAGCTCCCAGCACAGCCAATGCTGAAGAGGTATTAATGCTGGTCTCCTCAATGCTGGCAGTCATGCACTTCATATAAAAGAGGAAAACAGGTATACGATAATAAATTTGGTGACTGAGTCATCTTTCGTGAGCTAAATTTGCTAAAATGCTTCCCTTTCAGCTTTACACTTATAAGGAAGCATTTGCTGCCTGGAAACCTAAGCCCTACGGCATTCTATATCCCATGCTGGAGGAAGCAGACTACCAGCTTTCAGACATATGCAGAACCCTCGTCCAGAATTCACACACATACACCCCTCAGCCTGAGAACATATCCCTCCTAGAATATTTAGAGTCTAACAGATTACAAGTTCCTCTTTGTTGGCAAGATTAAACATCTATGTGCTCTAG